ATGGGAGAAAGAGAGTTGTGGGGGGGAGGGGTCCTCCTGAGAAACGTAACACCCCCATGCTGAAGCTGGTCCAGCGCCAAAGCAGGACTTCCTCCTCTTCTAGAGGAAGAATTTTCCTGAGAAGGGATGATGGCCGATGTGACACAGCCGCCCCGAAACAGCCATGAACATGAGTGTGGGATGGGGCGCAGGATGAAGAGCAGGACAGGGTGAGGAGAGGGCCGAGGAGCGGGATGGGGCGTGGGATGAGGAACAGGACGGGGTGAGGGGTGGGGAAAGGAGCGGGATGGGGTGAGGAGAGAGCCGAGGAGCGGGATGGGGCGTGGGATGAGGAACAGGACGGGGTGAGGGGTGGGGAAAGGAGCGGGATGGGGGGAGGAGAGAGCCGAGGAGCGGGATGGGGCGTGGGATGAGGAACAGGACGGAGTGAGGGGAGGGGAAAGGAGCGGGATGGGATGAGGAATGAGGAACAGGACGGGGTGAGGGGAGGGGCGAGGAGCAGGATGGGGCGAGGAGCGCAATGGGGCGTGGAATGAGGAACAGGACGGAGTGAGGGGAGGGGCGAGGAGCAGGATGGAGCATGGAATGAGGAACAGGATGGGCCGAGGGGCGGGATGGGGCTTTGGGGCGAAGAGCAGGACAGGGCAAGTAGCGGGATGGGGCAAGGAGCTGGGAGCATGGCAAGGTGAAGAGCGAGGTGGGACAGGGCAAGAAGTCGGATATGGCGAGGAACAGGGCAGGGTGAGGAACAGGACCGCCCCAAACACATTAATGAATCAAAGTTGGTGAGGGAGGGATTCCACAGCATTCAGGGAAGGTGGCAGAGTGGCCTCTGTGAGCCATTGCTGTCCTACCCCCAGCCCACGCTTTGGGTCCGATCCGGCTTGTCTCTTCATAACAATGCCCCCCCCCCCCCCACAAGGTCAGATTGCCACAGCGACACGCCGCTGCCATCTGGCAGCCCCGTTAATGGGAAGAACGGTGCCTGCGGGCCAAACGTTTCATAACGAGCTCAAGATGGGCCCAGGCGAGCTGTACAAATGGCGCCCGGATCTGGAAGGACCAATAAGGTGCGTCAGCTGGGCGACCTGCCCATGAAGCATGGAGTCTACACAGAGGCAGAGCTCAGCCGCTGGGCCGCACTCTGAAGCATGTTTACAATACCGGGGGGGGGGCAGCTCTGCCACATGCCCACCAACAGCGGAACCCTCTCTCTTTCTCCCTCGTCCTGCACATTGCTTAATTACGTTCATCTCAAAACCAACCAGCTACACATTACTCAGACTTTCCAGTCTCCCTCCTCCGCCACGGTCTGATCGACGTAGTAATGACACTGGTCCTCACATCGTACTCGACCAAACACCCCCCAGTGGAGAGAGACGGGCTCTGGGCCACACCTGGCACCATGTTTTGGGGGGGCGTACTTCCTGAGTCACTCTATCCCTGATCTCAGAGCACTGATCACTGGCGTTGCATAAGGCAGCACCTCCAGGTGAGCTACTGGTACTGGCTACAAGGGGGTGTGGG